AATATTGAAATCTTTATTATTATTTAAAACATGATCTATTTAATTTATTTTAGGAATGTGAGTGATTCTGAAATTATCTACCATAAAAAAAAGAATTGAAATAGAGGAATTCAGAACACTTCAAGTGGTTCAAAATTATCCAATTTGAAAATATCAATTTAGTTCCCTACAGTCATCATTGGGTATTTTAACTGCAACCTCTCGTAGAGTGTTTTCTAGATCTTGTACGTAGGTACTGTGCAATATTAGTTTTCCTTGGGTCACGATAAGGTCTTGTGCTTATCCATTGATGATCCGACATAGAAACTTCATCAGATATGTGCCAACTCAACTATGATTGATAATATTACTGAGCATAGTGTTATATTTATTATAGTTTGACTACGAAAGTTTAAGAAAGTTGATAATGTGCCGTTAGTACCATATTCTCCCCAGGTTTATGTTCAATTTCCAAGTTTCAACATAATCGTCAAGATATTTGGGAAATTTTCTAGTTTTTGATTCAGTTGTGGCTCACAGTGAATAGATTGAGACTGGTTTATTGTCTCACTAATATTTTCTTGTTCTATGTCTCGCATTTGCTCTGTGTGAATAGATTCCTATGAAAAATCTACACTTTCTTCTGATTAAGTAGGCATATTTATAACATGGTTATCAGCATTATTTTTTGATTGCAGTAGACTTTCACCACATGGAGCTTAATGTTTTAGCGAAACCGTTGCTTCTCGTCCATTTGAAAATCGAACTAACGCATATTGAGGGTTAACTTCAATGAGATCTACTTCTTCAACGAGAGGATCGTACTTTGATTATCTGACATGCTTTTTCATATAAATTTTTCCAGAAGTTAACCATGAAGGTATTGCTGTACCATTCATTGATTTTCTTAAATGACAGTACATCCTTTCATGTGAGAATTAGTTTCTGTACATAAAAGAATGCAATGCATCTTCTATAGAACCGCTTTCCAGTGTTAAATTTTCAAATTTCTTGAACGCAAAACTAGAGAAAAGGCCGAAACCCACTGGCAACACGCCACGCCATGCTACGCTACCCCACGCCATGTGACATAGGTGACGGGACGTGTTATGGCGTGGTATCGCGTGTAGCAAGTGTGTACGCGGCACATGTAAATGAATGGAAGAATATACGCATACATTTTCGTCACATGACGTCGCGTGGTATAGAATGGTGTGGCGTGTTGCTAGTGGGTTTCTGCCTTTATCGTCTACCAAATTATGTCATTAAATCGTTCTGTTTGACCATTGCCTTCTGGATTGTGAGGTGTCGTTCTGCTTGTAGCTATTCCATTTGAATGAAGATAATTTTTAAAATCATTTGACATAAATGAAGATCCTTGATCTGTGTGAATATATCCAGGCATTCCAGAAATAAAACATACGTTGCTTGCAGAAGTCATGTCTTGGCATGGATAGGCGAATGTAAAGCGAGAATACTCGTCGATGATAGTGATTATATATTTGTTCCTTGAATCAGATGGAAGAAGGCCTTTAAAGTCTAGAGATATTCTCTCGAAAACCTAGTTGCTTTAATGAGTGTCCCTTGATTTTTAATGAATTAAGGTTTGAGTTCTGCATAGACTGGGTAAGACGCTGACATAATACTACAGAGTAGGGTATATTGCGAGATCTGACCCAGTGGACCATTCTAGTGATTCCAAGATGACACAAAGCTTGATGTAAACCAAATAAAGTTTTCTGACTATTTGAACCACATATTTGAGAAAATGTATCAGCTACTATGTTTTCTCGTCCTGATCTATATACTATACCATAGCTGTAACATGATAGTTCAAGTCGCCATCCTAAAATCTTCTCATTTTTTATTTTGCTACTGTGTTTGGTATTAAACATAAAAGATACAGATTTTTGATCAGTAATCAGCTGAAAATGACTACCAATGAGAAAATGTCCCCATTTTTTTATCGCTTCGACTATAGTATAAGTTTCTTTCTCAACTGATAATCATTCATCAGTTGATTCACAACTGGCCTTCTTGCTTGACTCAAAATGGCAGCAATGGAATGTCCTGAAGCATCAGTCTTAACCACAAATGGAATGTTATCTTTGATTGAAGTAACAGCTGATTTTGCAATATCCAATTTAGGTTTACACAGATTTCTGACAACGGAAAAGATTTACAAGAAACAAGTCGATGAATTTTTTCTGAAAAACAATGGTAATGGGCGAACTGTCGGGAGGGAATCTTTGTGGAGTTGCGTGAAAGATCAGTTAACGCAAAAAGAGAATTTAGCGAATTTTTAATAAACTTGAAAGATGATAGACAGCCTGACAATACAATATAAAAGGTAAAAACTAGAACTGGTAATAATTAAACTGGAGGCGGATTACGAACTCTCGATTCGAACCGAAACCGCCATGGATTTCGAACGCACTCCCTGCAAATGCATCAGAATGCGTTCGAAATTCATGGCGGTTTCGGTTCGAATCGAGAGTTCGTAGTCCGCCCCCACAGGTTGGTCATAGGAAGTTAAGGTTCATACACAGTATTTAAAATAATAGTTCAACACGAATATCCCAAGAGCTTTTTTCAGAGACTGAGAATCTTCAGGTAGGTACACGTTTTCGTAGGGATTGAAGTCTAACTGGATCAGGTTTCAAGGCATTATTCTCGATCAGATATATCCAAGAAGTTTGATTGATTTTAGGGAGTAAGAACTTTTCTTTTCGTTGATGGTAAAATTGTATTTTCTTACAACGAGTAAAAATTCTTTTAAATTTTTATCATGATCTGCTTAATTTCTTCCGCATATCGTAATATAATTTAAAAATGCATTAACACCTTCAAGCTTTTCTGATTTTATTATGTAGTCTATTATCCGCTGAAAATACGCAGCTCCGTTTGTCACACCAAAAGGAATTCTTCGGAACTGATATAATTTATTATCTGCCTCAAAAACAGTATACTGTTTTTCGTCGTCATGTATGGGAACTTGGTGATACGCACTTTGTAAATATATAGTACTGAAAAACTTGAAATTTCGTCAAAGCACGAACAATACCTTCAATATTGGGCAGAGGATAAGCATCTAAATATATAAACCTGGTAATTAGATTAGATAAGATTGTGTTAGGGGCGCTTAGGTGATCGACCTCTCTGTACTGCGACCTGAATAGATCTATTGTGCTTCCCCTTTTTCTAGTAGGTTCCCAGGTTGAGACTTTTCGCGAATCTCACGATTTTCCAGGTATTGGTTCGTTTAACATCCGCAGCAGTCAAATGTGTCTGCTCCAGATGGGTGAGTCTGCTGTGACATACCTGTAACATATCTGTGACAAACCTGGTAATGGTTTGAGAATAATCGATCACCATCCTTTTCTTATGCGTTTCATTTTTCGTTACCAACATCTGTGCCTGCCAAGGAGAGCTGCTTTCTTCTATGATTTTATTTAAAAGAAGGGTTCTTATTCCAATAGAAATAAAGTGTCTATCTTCTGGTGAAAATCGTCTAGACTTTGTTGCAATTGGCCTGCAGTCTGCTGATAGATTTGTAAATAATGTAGGCGGATCTTTAGGAACGCCAAACTACAAAATCGATGATGAGTTTTCAATATACAAGGGAGGCTTAGAACCTCCAAAAGATACTTCAAGGGTTGAATACTGTCTAAGAATATCATGACTCATAATGACATCAGCACATAAATCAGAAAGAACTGATAAACGTAATTTTCTGTATGTATGCCCCATCATTCCTGAGTCTACAAAGCAATAATGACCTGATATTTGAGACTGTAAGACTGATGTTGTGGCCATGAATTAACCAGTGCTAGAATGTATAGGTAAATCGATAAACGAGGCAAAAGTTTTATTAATGTATGTGTCAGAACTCCCTGTATCTACCAAAGCATCAAAAACGACATTGTTTAAATTAATTTTGATAAGGCATTTGGTTAAACCAGGTCCAGGTGCCGCACAAAGAAGCCCAGAAGCAGGTATAATTGAGGCAGAAGCTTTGACTTCTCTTTCGCTTAGACATACCTTGGAGAAATGTCCACATTTACCGCATTCATTACATGTTGAATCTTTGGCAGGGCATAACTTGCGAAAATGTCTTTTAGTACTTCCACAGAAATACCATTTGTACCTAATGGAAGAGTCTCTGCTATAGTATAGTCGTTTTGACTTTCTTCAGGGCTGACAGCTTTGAAGTTACACGCTTTACTTAGATGTTGTAGTGCTTGTAAGTACTGATCAACAGTAACTCCAGGTTGCTGCTTTCTAGAGATAAAGCAGTGTCTGGCAAATATTTCATCTTGAGGTTCAATGAAAATTGAATCCAAAATCTTAATAGCTTCTGAGTAAGAAGAACAGCGCGATATGTGCTCATAATTGTTGTGGCTTACATAGTTCACCAAGAGTTTCAGTTCTCCATCATTTTCTAGCTTATCAACGGATAATATGGAATTGCAGAAAGTTGCATTCCAGTGACTCCACTCTTGTGCAGCTTTTGGAGAGTTTTGATCAGCGTCGAATCGTTCAGGTCTTAAGAGTTTATCCATCTTATTTATTAAATTGTAATGATTTACTGAATTATCTTTAAAAATTAGGCTTTTAATAAACAAGAATTATACACAACATTTACAATGATGAAAAACTAATGACAAATATAATATAATAATAATTAATACTGGTAACAAAAAATATATACAGAAGAATCAGAAGATATCAAAAATACCACACCTATTATCAAGTCATATAGAGACTTACCTCTTGGATTTATGTCCTGACTTCCTCAGTTGATGTGGGGCGAGTAGGAGTCACACCTAATCATTCAGGTCTATTTTCTCATTAAAAAAAACTGCCAACAAGTAATCAGCTCTGAATTTGTATCTGAAATTGCTAATTTTACATTACATTTGCCTTGTTCTATGCGGCTTTTGATACCCTTCCAAGGAATAACTCTAAATCTGAGTAACTTTTTATAAAAAATCTATAAATACTGATGTTTTTTTTTAAAGGTACTGGAGTAACCGCAAACGTCGTCCACCCGGGAATAGTAAAAACTGACATCTTCCGGAACGCCATCAAAAACGACCGAAACATTTTCGGAATGTTCTTTTTAATTTTCGTGTACCTCCTCGGCAAAGTAAGTACCTACTCCATAAAAATACAGTTACTTGCAAAATTCTTTTTTAGACCCCAACAGAGGGCGCCCAAACTCTAATCCACGTGGCACAAAGCGAAGAAACAAAAACCACTACGGGACAATCGTTCATCGAAGGCAAAATTCGGCCGCGCCCTCTACAATTAACCGACACTTTTTGCTCGCAACTCTGGGACACTTCGATCAAGTGCACCGGGTTGCAACCACAAGAATTAGGATGCTGATTTATATAGTTCCTTAATTGAAATAAAGACAAAAAAAAATGAGATTACCTTTTATATTGTGCTCCGTTTTTAGTAGGCCAGGCTCTATATAATCAATGTTTATGAAATGGGGCTTCGGATATTAACGTTGTTAACGTCTCAAATTGCTTCTTATCGGATTAGAGGCTATGAGGAGCCGCACTTAGCCCGGGCTTAATTTGCCTTTGGAGGCTGCTCTAATTAAGTTTTAGTTTATTTTCGACGTCGCTCATAAGCGATAATCATTATGTAGATATATATATTTTTTTTTTGTATTTTTGGGGAGGAAAATTTATTCGGAATTTATAGAAGTTTCTGCGCCTTCTATACAGTACATTGAGCGTGTGCAAAGTATTAAGTAATGCAGGAAAAGGCTACTTTGCAAATGAAGTAAATCTTTTGAAATCACTTACCTTGAGTTGGGTAGTGAGTCTTTTAACAGAGAATCTAACTTAACGTACGATTGGCAGAAAATTGAAAAGTTTTCGAATGTTCATGAATCCTTTAACAAAACAACTATTAATAATGACATCAACATAGAAATGGCAGTTTGCAACATCGACCCCAACTTTACACTATCTCCACTACCTGACAATATAAAACATTTCAATCTCCAAGAGCTTAAAAACGGGTCAAAGGGAAAAGGCCTTTCTGCTCGTGGAATGGACGAAACTACCTATAAAATGTTGGATTACCTTCCAGATACAGCAAAAAAATCCTAATAACTGCCTCTCAGGAGTCATTTATTCCGATCCTAAAACCAAATAAAAACCCCTTAAAAATGTAGAGGACTATAGACTTACTGCAAGATCTTGGAAATCATGACTTAAAATCGTCTGGATTGGTGGCTAGAAAACAACAAGACCTTCAGCTGGCTTCAAACAGGGTTCAGAAAAGGGATGAGAATCAATAACAATATTGCAGCACTTACAACTCACATCATTCTAGCTTTCAATCTAAATGAAACCATATTGGCATTATTTGGAGTAAACATAGGTATATTCGTTGTATGACAAATTGAAAAAGGCAAGCACACTGATGGAACTTTCAAATCTAATATTCAGATTATTATCAAAGGGTAAACCACCATCCCAGAATTGGTGCAAACAATTCCTCAAAGGGGAATATTTTTTTCGCATAATTCCTCAAAATTCCTCCACATACCCCATCAGCAATTCTTCCAAATACCCCACCACGAACTTCTCCAAATACCCCACAAATTCCTCTAAAAAAAGGGAAAACTTTGAAACTTTCTGCATTCAAAGAGGAAGGTGAAAAGATCATTTTCCCAAAATTTAAAAGTTTTCCAGTGGAAAATAACAACATGAGGAATATTGGTAATCAACATACAATAACTGAATTAATTGAAAATACAGTCTCACACATTTCAAAATTTTCCTGGAAAACTAGTGAAGCGAACATTTTGAAACATTTTCCATGTAAAGAGGCAGGTGAGACGCTCGTTTTCCCAAAATTTCAAATTTTTCCAGTAGAAAACAACAACATGAAAAATCTTGGAAGTCAACATACAATAACTGAATTAATTGAAAATACAGTCTCACACATTTCAAAATTTTCCTGGAAAACTAGTGAAGGGAACATTTTGAAACACTTTTTGTATGTAAAGAGAAAGGTGAGAAGCTCATCTTCCGAAAATTTCAATTTTTTCCAGTGGAAAATAACAACATGAGGAATATTGGAAATCAACCTACAATAACTGAATTAATTGAAAATACAGTCTCACACATTTCAAAGTTTTCCTGGAAAACTAGTGAAGGGAAAATTTTGAAACTTTTTGCATGTGAAGAGGAAGGTCAGAAGCTCATTTTCCCAAAACTTCATTTTTTTCCAGTGGAAAATAACATGAGGAATATTGGAAATCAACCTACAATAACTGAATTAATTGAAAATACAGTCTCACACATTTCAAAGTTTTCCTGGAAAACTAGTAAAGGGAACATTTTGAAACTTTTTGCATGTAAAGAGGAAGGTCAGAAGCTCATTTTCCCAAAACTTCATTTTTTTCCAGTGGAAAATAACATGAGGAATATTGGAAATCAACCTATAATAACTGAATTAATTGAAAATACAGTCTCACACATTTCAAAGATTTCCTGGAAAACTAGTGAAGGGAAAATTTTGAAACTTCTTGTATGTTAAGAGAAAGGTAAGAAGCTCATTTTCCCAAAATTTCAACTTTTTCCAGTGGAAAACAGCAACATAAAAAATCTTGAAAATCAACCTACCCCTGACGCCAAATCTCCAGTTTTGATGTAGACAACATGTTATTTCTCGCCTTGACGTAAGCTGTTGAAACGACTTAGTTATGACAACGGAAACGGTGACACACCAATAGGGCGGCGATTACCAAAAACGAGGCCGATAGGTGTGTACCATCCTTGATTTTTGGTAGCAATGTTTATTAAACAAATTTAAACGTTGGCAACAATGAAGTTTTTACTTTTAACGAATGCCATTTTGATCAAAATTTCTTACTGTTCAACAGTGTTGTCAACTTTAATTAATCATTTAGTTTCTGTCAACTTACAAAAAAATAAATCTGTTAAAATTGCTTACTTTAAGTGGGATAGTTTGATAGGCACACACTTTCACGTTATTTCCCCGAATAAAGTTACGCAAGTCAGCTAATGAGCAGGTTACCTTCATCTCCTTCTATCTTGCGTCATTAGAAAAACATGAAAAATCAAAATTACAAGGCCTACTTGATGGAAGAGCTATTTTTATTACTGGTGCCATCTATTGGTTACCAGAAGAAATAAACAGATAAACAGCGTGTTATTATGGTTATTTTCTTAACAAGTGCGCAAAAAGATATTTTGTCTCATGCAAGACATGTTAAAGCGAAATGTTGAATTGAAAATAAATAGAAAATTCCCTTTTCCAGCACTCATTTACGTGTGCAAAGTACTGAGTAATGCGGAAAAAGGCTAGTTTGCACACGTAAATGGAGTAAATCTGTTAAAATTACTTACTTTAAGTTAGGTAGGCTTCACTAAACAACAAGTTCAAACAAGTTCTCATAGTTTAAAGTGCAGAAAACGACAATTTTGTGCATTTCGGGGTGGCGCGTGTGACAGACGAGTCCGAAACAGTTTAACACGATTTTTCGCGTTAAAATTTACCGAAAAGCCAGTAATTTTGACGAGAAAATCAGTCACGATGCACATGCTTACACGTCATTTTCGCGAATAAACGTAATATGTCAGAAAATCGCAAGTCATCTAACGAGCAGGTTAGCTTCATCTCTTTCTATCTTGCGTCATTAGAAAAAGACAAAAAATCGAAACTTGTCACACTTGATTAAAGAACTATTTTGTATTACTAACGCCATCTATCGGTAACCTAAAGAAATAAGCAGGTAAACAAGGTTTTGTTATGGCTATTTTTCTAATAAGTGCGCAAAGTGATACTTTCTTGCATGCAAAACACGTAAACACAAAAGCCTTCGAATATGAATACATTTATTTTATTGTTAAACTCAAAATGAAATACAAAATTCCCTTTTCCAGCACTCATTTGCGTGTGCAAAGTATCAAGTAATTCAGGAAAAGGTTACATTGCACACGCAAATGAAGCAAATCTGTTAAAAATACTTACTTTAAGCTGGGTAGGCTTCACTGAGCAACAGGTTCAAACAACTCCGCATAGTTTTAAGTGCGGGAAACGACGATTTTGCGCATTTCGCAGTGGCGCGTGTGCCAAACGAGTGCGAAACACTTCGACGAACACTTCAACTCAATTTTCCGCGTTGAAATTTTCCGAAAAAACACTAAATTTTTCAAAAAATCAACGAAAAAATCTGGCACAAGCATCCACGTCATTAACCCGTATGATGAAGTAAAAATATGTCAATGTCGAAAGAAATCGCAGCAGGTTAGCTTCCTCTCTTTCCATCTCGCGTCATTAAAAAAAGACGAAAAATCAAAATTAATTGAAGAGCTATTTTTATTACTAGCGCTATCTATGGGTAACCAGAAGACATAAACAGGTAAACAAACAAGGTATTGTTATGTTTATTATTTACCTAACAAGTGCGCAAAGTGATACTTTGTTGCATGCAAAACACGTAAAAACAAAAGCCTTCGAATATGAATAATGTTACTGAAAATAAATACAAAATTCGTTTTTCCAACACTCATTTGCGAGCGGGAAAAGGCTACTTTGCACACACATATTTGTTAAAATTGAAAAAGGGCAAACAAGTACGGGTTCGTCCCTTATAATAATCACACAATAAACGAGAGCAAGTGAAAATCCACTTGCAATTTAATGAACTAAACGCGAAGGGTGACTTTCCGTCCCTTCTCCGGCCAAATGGCCGTAATGCTCACTTGTCCTTTAATGCCACGTGGCTTTCGAATTTATTTTTATCGTCGTGCGTAAGTTCAATTGGCCAGAAGTGAATCTTTCTATATACATATAAGCCAGATGTGACTTTTCTATTATGTTATTTGGGCTGTTTTTCCAGAAAATCTAAGAATTACCTAAGAATTCGTTATACATTAAAGAATTCAAATTCAATTGAGTCCTATATATATAAAGTTATTGCTGTCCCCCCCCTTTTATACCTGACTTTGCCAAGAAACAACAATTTTTTTTTTCTTCGTCGTTGCCACCCCCCAAAAGAAAACATCGGGGGGAAGCGTATAAGGGGCCGACATCCCCCGGGACCGGACCAAAAGGGAGAGACAGGACAAATTGCCGGCAAAAAACTTGGAAAGGAATTTTTGCGCCAGTGATAAGGTTCATGTTTCAAGGATTTGTAGATAATTTTTCAAAAATATAGAGGTTTTCAATTAAATTTCACTCTATGAAAGATAAAAATTAGCTCTCTAGATCAACCTGTAGCTCTAAAATATTCAGACTTTTGAAAGACGTCCTATGGGTTGAGGTACCAAAATATGTTCTGTCTACTTGATTATAAAATACTTAAATTAGCACCTACCTTATAATATATAAGCGATGGTTCTGATGTTTGAGTTGGCAATGGTGGTTCGATCTATGGTACCA